GTTTTTTTGATGAAATATTAGTCTATAACCTGTCAATGACATAATATGTTTCTTTGGGGTCGACACTTTCTAATTAAAATGGACATGTGATTCATAATCATTTTTGGCTCATTGGCGACCTTATCTGTGGGGTCGACACTTTATAATTAAAACATACCATTATATCCTTAAGTTTTTACTAGAGCAACGCTTATCAACCTCTCCACACCAACACTGGGTGAGCAAATTTCTTGGGTTCGACTTTACAGTCGAGTACCACGACTTTACAATCGAGTACCAGACTGGTGCCTTAAATCAAGAAGCCGATGCTCTCTCACGGCGGGAGAAAAAGAGTGAAACGGGGGATCTATTTTTGAAGTAATAAGTCCAGCCGGAAATATTTGAGACTTTACGCATCAAGATCGAGACCGATGAAGAACTTAGCAGGCTGTAGAGTCGCAACTTGAGTGGCACCGAGAATGACATGTGGGTTATCTGCGAAGGGCTTATAACTTATGACGGTTAGGTTTACTTAAAATCAAGTTCTCCATTGGTTAAAGAGGTAGTTTCGGTCGTGCATAGTGCCACACATGAAGGCATACATAAGAATGTGGAACACATACGTAATGACTTTTATAGGAAGGGGTGGAAGGCTACCATTCAATCATTTATTCAAAGATATATGGTAAGTCAACGCAATAAGTGGGAGACTCTACAGCTCGCCAACTTACTTCAGCCCTTACCCATTCACGAGACAATTTGGTCAGACGTTTCCATGGATTTCGTTGAAGCCTTACCCAACGTTTTGGGAATACCCATCTTGTTGGTGGTCGTCGACCGGTCCTCCAAGTAAGCTCATTTCCTTCCGACCAGGTACCACTAAACGGAAAAATCTGTGGCTAAGGCTTTCTTGGCCGAGATCTTTCAATTACATGGGTTTCCCGAGACAATCGTCTCTGATCATGATAAAGTGTTTTAGAGTGCATTTTGGAAGGAGTTGTTTCGCCTATTGAGAACTAAATTATCCTTCTCAACAACCCATCACCCCAAAGTGACTGCCAAATTGAAGTTGTTAACCTCACTATCGAAATATATTTACGCTATTTGACGGGGGATAAACCACTAAAGTGGTTAACATGGCTACCATGGACAAAATATTGTTATAACACATCTTACCATACTACCTTGAAAACCATAATGTGGACCCTCCAAGCCTAATCAATTATGTTGTAGGGCATTATAAGGTGGAGGCGGTTAATCAAATTATTGGTGGATCGGACTGAGTTTATAGCTACAACAAAGGTACGGTTGGTGAAGGCTCAACAACGCATGATGTTGACTTATGACAAGCATCACCGCTCGTTAGAATTTAAGGAAGGAGACTGATGTGACTGAAGCTTCAACCATATCGAAAACTAACGGTGGACAAGTCCAATCTCGAAAAAACTATCTCCTCGATTTTATGGGTCATTCAAGATTCTACAAAAAAATAGAATTGTAGCTTGTCGGTTAGCGTTACCCACTGGAAGCAGAATTCACAATGTGTTTCATGTTTCTTGGTTGAAACCACACCAATGAATACTTCCTGATGTTACTACTATTTTGCCGCCATTGGTTGATGGTAAAACTCTGATTAATCCTTTTAAGGTGTTGCGTGCTAGGTGGTTTGAAGGCCTGCCCGAATTGCTGGTACAGTGGACTTAGGATGATGAGAATAATGCAACTTGGGAGAAAAAAAAGACTTTTATGGAATCTTACCCAAATTTTGAGCTTGAGGACAAGCTCAAATTGGAGGAATGGAGTCATGTTATGAATCCTAAATATGGTAAGGTTATCACATGAAAGCTAAAGAGGTGAAGGCATCCGAATTTTGATAAGTTTTATAATTTATAATTTTAAATTTGAGTAAGATTAGGTTAAGGTTTTATTTTTGTGTTGGAGTTGATTTATGTTTAGTTAGGATTTTGTTTCCGTTTTAGCATTTGTGGTTTTCCCCCCTATAAAGAGTGGAATTAAGAGAAATAAAATCAAGCTTGAATTGAATTGTTTTTTTTTTTAATACTTTTAGTTAGCGTAACCTAGTCTCCTTACTAAGGAGATTAGGTCTTTTTCTCCTACAACTTCAGTAAATCGTAGACATACATGTCCAATCACAAGATCACAATCCCAGGGCCTATCACAAACTTGTATATGTTCTTATAAAGACAAAGTTATTAGTGATATTCCTTTTAGGGCATCCACAATGGAGGTTTAATAGGAATTGAATAGACGATGATTAGGGTTGAATATAAGTTGAGTGGAGTGTGGGTGATGACATTAAGAAGAGTTGAATGAATGAGTTTATAACCATTTGTGGTTCAAAGGATTTTTTTTCTTTTTCAGTTACATTTCAAACCAAATTTATAATCATATTTTCATATTGTTTTTATATTTATTTTTTGTATTTTTTTAATTAAACCACAAATAAATTAACCATATTTTTAGGTATTATATTATTTAATTAATGTATCATATTTTTAGGTGTCTATTTTTTCAATTCAATAAATCCAATGAAGAAAGAAAAACACATTAAAAGAAGAAAAAATACATCTAATAAGGAAAAAAAATCAAGCATGAAGATACGTCAATATTTTTCCCGGATTGGAATATCATGTCGGAGGAGGGACGGGAGATTTGGATGAACCGTTGTGAAGATGTCAATATGAAATATAATTTGCTGGTATCATGTATTTATTTTTACTTTTTAGTAATGTATTTTTAGGTTTTGTGTTTTTTAATTAATGTAATTTTTGGTAGAGAAATTAAATATCCTTCTACATATTCCTCTTATCATTCTCGTATCACTTTTAGATGATGACAACTGTAATAAAATTAATTAATTTTATTAAATACTACAAGCGTCATAATCTTAAATGTGTAGGAAGATGGTAGGAAAAAAAGGTGGAAGAATATTTGATTTCTTTTTTAGGTATTAAATGTTTTAGGTTTTGTAATTTTTATGTAATGTATTTTTATGTTGTATTTTTTAACTATTATACATTTTATTTGTAAATTTGTAATTATGTTTAAAAATATAATAACAATGATATGAAAATCCATTAATTTTTGTACGGTTTTAATGGAATGCAAATTTTAAAAAGTAAAACTGAATAAAAAATAAAATGTTGATGTGATAGTGATCTAACAAATTATTGAACTCTTTAAAGTTCAACAACATGTGTATGATTTGACAAATAGAAATAGTATGAACATGGTTTTTTTATGAGAAAAATTAATATATATTGGTATTTTGAAACACTAACGGTGCGTTTGGCTGTGGAAAACTGTTTTTATTTTTTCAAGAAAATATTTTCAAAAAATAGAGTTGAGTTTTCATTTTCAATTTTCAATGAAAATTAAAAAAAAAACATTTTTGGTTTGAACCAATGGAGTTTTCATTTTCCACCTTAGAAATTTAAAAAACTTTGGAAAACTATAAAAATCAATTTTCTAATTTACATACAATTAGGAAACTGACGATTTTTATTTTCTTGGAAAATTTTTAAAAACTAAATAAACCAAATTTGTTTTCAAAATTTTCATTTTCATTTGAAAATTTTTATAAAAAAATTAAAATTTTTTTCTACAACCAAACGCACTCTAATCTTTTACCCTTTTTTTTCTTCACAACTCTTTCTCACATTAAAACGGTGGACTTGTGTTAAAAGTGATGAATATTGTGATTGGTTTTTTGGAACCTATCATGTAGACTTAGGGCATCCATAATTAGGGTTCAATTATGGTTAAATAGAATATAATATTGAAGAGAGAAAAGGTAGAGTTGCATGCTCACTTTGATGTGGCTTATGTATGCCATATATGCAAGACAAGAATACACTTGGTAGGTTCCGCTATCTTAAATGTTGCAAATATCTCATGACACAAACAAATCTCCTTGAAAGCATTAAACGATGTAGGAAAAAGTGAAACAAGATACACTGAAAGATGTTAAATGTTGCAAATGTCTCGTGAAACAAACAAATCTCCTTGAAAGCATTAAACGATGTAGGAAAAAGTGAAACAAGATACAAGGAAAGATGTGAAATGTTCGTATTGTAAAAGACATGTATGGAATTTAATATTAACATTAGAGATGGCCAGGTATATCACATGTTTTTTATTTATTTATGATTTCCATAAGTTTCAAATGTTCATTTATAGCTTAAAATTATACGTTTTATTTTTAAAACTCTTAATTTTATATTCTTTACAAAATGGCAAAATGGTGATGTTTCAATATGTTGTTTGTTTGTGTTATTTTTTGATGAGTCGGCCGTACTGATTGTCGGCTTGACCGACTAATAACAATCATCTCAACTATACTAGCTTCGACAATCCTCAAATATATTTAAACACATATCTATTAGTCTACTTCCCAATTGCTTGCACAAAAAGTGAGTTTGATTCTTGCTTAAGGACCACAAATAATGATAATGATGCTACCATTAGAAGTTCTGATTCCTAACATGCATGTTTGTTCCTTTGGAAATTTAAAATAAAAATCTTTGTTTCACAAAAAAAAAAAAGCTAGGTGTTTATAGGCGTTCGAATACAAGAAAGGTGACTACTTTTGTTCCCTTGCTAAGTTTAAGATAGAGGAAAAAAGAAATAAAGTTGAAGACGAGTTAGTATAGGGCTATTAGGCATGTCTTTTGTATTTAGTGCCTTGATTTATCTTTTATGCAGATAAAAATTGTTTGCTGGTATTTTTGGTTATCAATTTTCCAATTTTAGTCTACATATAAACCCCTTTCAACCTATTGATTCCCTTTGGCACCACTCTCAATTTCTCAATGTTTTTTCTATAAATTTGTCATATCTCCTAAAAAATAAACCCAATTATCCTTTTTCTTATAAAATTGGACATGAAGTAAGAATTACAACTACTTCATATGCCTTGCCGATTTGGTTAAACAAGTGTTTGATGAGGCAATTTATGAATTAAATAAAAATACTTCGTTGCTATTTCTCCCTTCAAACAAATGTTGTTGAATCAAGTATTACCTAAGTTAGCAACATCAACATTAATGGTAATTTTTATTGTCTTTTTTATTATAAATTATAAATTGATTTCATTATAAATTGTGTTTCATTATGTATTTTCCTTGCACGAATATTAAGTTGTTTGTGATAATCATCAAGTTGATGTTTCTGACAAACCAATCTCTAAGGTAAATAATATTGTGTTCAATAACTAATTCAGATCATGTTTTCTAATATTGTGTTCAATAACTAATTCAGATCATGTTTTCTTTCCATTCAATTTAAATTGGTGTATATTTTGTTCAATTGTTATTTGTTATGTTTATTATTCATCTTTTCTTTTCTCCAACTAGGATGGTTCTGGTAATATGAAAGATGATGCTATTGTGTATGAGGTTAGACATGAAAAATATATATAATGATGTAAGTTGTAACATATGTTTTGACATATGGTTTTACTTATGTAATTTTCTTATAATTAGGCTGCTTCTAATAATAACAAAAATGATGGTGTTCAAAAATGTATATCTGAGGAAAAGGATGTGGAAGATAGCGACATACGTGAGAATGTATGATTTAAATTATTATTTTTTACTAATGTTGCATATTTTGTTAGTTTTTAATTTTTCTTATTGTTCTCATTGATCTATTCAATTAGGTTGGTTATGATATTATTGAAGATGATATTTCTAAGACAACTATCTCCATATGTGGTTTGGAAGATTGTGAAGAAAGTGAAGTAAGTTACAACGTAGTGTCTACAGTTTCTATTATCCTTACGATATGGAACAAAAATTTAACGATTATTGTCACCTATTTTTCTGTATTCCTTTATTTGTTATGATTCTTATTGTCCTTTTATTTTAAAAATAGGATACTTGCAATGTTATTGAAGTTGATTCTTTTAAAAAATCATATGTTGGATCCTTAATAACACTAATGACACGTTGACTTCCACGATCGTGTAAGGAGTCTTCAAAAGATGATATCCTTAGTTGATTTCAAATTAGTTTTAAAGTGTTTTCTGACATTGTTTTCTAGCTTGTATTTCTTTTCCAGATTTTAATTTTCATATCATTGTAGTCCTCAATTTTTTTATAGGTTATTTGAAAGTATAAACTAGATTAAGCATTTTATAAGAGTTTTTAGATATATTTATGGTTCCAGTATTTTAAATGTATGGAATTACATAGTACATTCACGTTTTTTTTGTCCTTATGGCAAAACACATTATTCTTGGGATACCATACGCCAAAGGATCTTACAAGGTTTGTTCTTATGGATGGTTTTATCTGAACCGATAAGTTAAAAATGTTGACTTTAAGCTCTACGTTGGAAAGATAATTTGATAGATTTGTCATGTACAAACAGGTATGACACTAGCTGTAAGGGTTTTAAGAAATTATGAGTTCTCTCTTAAAGTGGATGCCCTTATTCAAATTGTTTATTTAGTAAAAGTAAAAAAATAAAAATAAACCTTGTATATAACATTTTATCCGTATAGAAATCATTACCCATTCAGCTACTTAACTAATACACGACTTATTGGAAGAAAAAAAAAATCTTAACGGTTCTAAAGATCAAAGGATGTGATGTCTAGTAATCAAGCATCATACAAGACTCAGTCATGAGCGTTATTCCAAAATTTTCTTTTTTACAACAACAATAACAATAACTTTTAATGATCAACAATCAACGGAAAGCTTTTGAGCCTTCTTGATAGCAAACGAACCTTTATCAAGAACCCAATCCTTAATCATGGCTTGAGAATTCACATCTTGATCAGTTGGCACAAAATGCCCAGCACCTAACACCACCACATGGCTCAAATTATCCCATTTCTGCACATACCCTGCAAGAACACCATTCACTATCCAAACATCTTTTTCTGCATCCAAAAACTTCCCAATCCCTTCCCACTTCATCTTCTTCACCCAAGACTCCACAGACACAACCCCATCTCTCAAATCACACTGCCCTTGATACAACAACAGCTTAGTGTTCTTGACAACAAACTCCACCATGTACTTCACACTCTTCATCACATCTTCATGCAACGCTGCTCCAACCACATCACTACATTCCTCAAACACCATGGATTCGTTCACTCCTAATGCCTTTTTAACTTCTGGGTTCTTCAAGAACTCTTCTACCCAATCAGAACGATAAGGACTCTGTCTCCTGAAGTCATACAAAGTAGCTAGACCTGTGATGCTATGCAGAAATCCCAAAACGTTGTTTCTTGCATCTGTAGCATTGCTCCAATTACCAGCTTTTGTTAGTTCGATAGCTTTAATTTGAAGTTTCTCCATCTGGGTTTTCTGCTTCTCATTGATCAACCCAAGATTGTAACTATGGAGAGCATGAGTGGCGACTTGCGTTGCCGGATCTGTTAATCCATTTCCGATAGCTAATCCGTACAAATTGATCCGTTTAGAAGCGGGTAAAAGGGGATTCTTTTTGAGAATGTAGTACCCAATTGATGGGACATATTTTCCAGAGTAACTCTCACCTGTAATGTAGATTGGACGAGATTTAAACAGCGGGTCTAAATCGATAAACTTTCTGATCGCAATAAATAGATGTCTTGCTACAGCGTGTTGGTCTCTCGGGATTTCTTCGGACGTCGAAGCGATACTAAAACCAGTTCCAATGGGATTATCGAGGAAAAGAAGGCCGAATATTCGGTTCCAAGAACCTGGATTAGGTTCGAGCGTAAGGTGTTCGACGTTTTGCTTCACTGAAGCTGTCACTCGCCATGGACCGAGTTCGTAGAAGTTCCCGGTCATGGAGGAGCAGCCAGGTCCTCCTTGAAGCCAAATGACAAGTGGGGTTTCAGAAAGAGAAGTATTGCTGGTATTCTGGGCTTCATAGAAGGCATAGAATATGGCGGACCCGGTGGTGGAATTGACCGGAAGGTAGCCGGATTTTGTGGGAAGAGTTTCTTTGGGTAGTGTAGAGGCCGAAGAGTGTGGTTGTAGGTGGCGGATGAGTGTAAGAAAGAGGAGGAGCTTGAGGGGTGTTGACTCCATTGATGATAGATGAGTGGGCTGTCTTTTGATCGGTCTGTCATTTTGTAAGGCAGATCGTTGTGCAGGCGGAGAAAGCGGAATATAAAAAGCTTCGGGTCTTGTTAAAGTTTGCAACCTCGGCTAAAGTTTCCATGACGACTCAACCCTCGATTTTTATAAATTGCATTTTTAACCTCTATATTTTAAAAAAAAAAAAATATTTAATATCAAATGATAGTTTTCATTCTTATAGTATTTAACATAATACTTTGATCATTTATTTTTTCCAACTATCATAAATGACATTTTTCACCCTTATATTCTTGAAATATTTTGTTAATGATATTATCCACCTGTATACATTTTAAATTATCACTTTGACCCCTTTATTTTTTTTCCAATGTCACTTTACACTTCTATATTTCTTAAAATACTTTTATTCATATACTTTTAAAATATCACACACCATTTATTTTCTGAACTTTTGTATTTATCGTTTCTTATGCATATATCTGTATAAATTTAAAGTAGTCAACGTTGAATTCAACGTTAATTTACACATTTTGTTCGCTAATGTTATTTATTTTTTTTTTATTTTGCCTTTTGACGTAATCTTTTTAAGTTTTTGTTCTTTCTACGTATTAGTCGGGTTACATTTCATACTTTCTACGTATTAGTCGGACTACAAATTTTATTATTTTGACTTCCGCTCGTTAACTTAAAAAAATAATCTTACTTGCTTACTTTTATGTACATGTGAGTATAAATTTGAGTTTACTTATGTGTTGAAGTAAACTTTGTGTACATTTTTGTGATTATTTGTAATATACGTTTCTTACATATGAGTTCTATCATATATAATACATTCTAATTTGAATACATAATTAGAATTAATCAATGGTACCGATCTTGTATATTCTTCTCGTAAAAAATACAATGATACATAACTTCTATTAATAAAATTGTCAGAACTCAACTTACAAAATAGATTGTCCCGCACGGCAACGCATATAGACAATCTACTAGTTTCTAAGAATAACCAATTATAACCATACTTTCCAAAAAATAATCAAAAAATTACTTTTCTAAAAACGAGAAAAATGTTACGGTCGTGTTTAGCAAAACTAGTTAGTAGTTGGTACCTAGAAGATGTAGTTCTTATTTGCTATTTAAGTGTTTGACAAGGTAGTTGTAACATTTTGAAATACATAAAATTACATAAAATGATATATATATATATATATATATATATATATATATATATATATATAATATATATTATATTATATATATATATATATATATATAGGCTAGACTATTCTATTGTAACTAATTATTGTGCGGATATTGTATGCTATTAGAATAATAAAGAAAATATGTTATTTGATAATATAAATACGTCAATCTTACATAATTATTGTCATTAACACATATTATCACTAATTAAATCGTCTATAAAGTTATTATACACTTATTATTATTATTATTCTAATTTCTGTCAGAATGTTTGTATTTACTGGGTCGTATTATATCAGAATGAAAATGAGTGAAAAACGATGTGTGAAAACAAAAATAAATAATAATTACTGAGAATGCATGAAAATGACGATATTTCTGTTAGGTTGAACGTATTTGCATTGCTAAACAATTTATTCTCTTAGTAATTCTCATAGCATACGATATCCGCACAATAATTAGTTAGAATACTTGAATCTAACATCTTGTTAACAAACCATACTTCCAAACAAAGTTTTTTTTGTTTAAGTCGAAGGTCTTGTTAAAAGCCAAAAGTTATAAACTCTGAAACGGTCCTTGCTATACACACCAAATTCATCAAGAGTGTTACATAATTATTATGCTTTCTATGAACTCGTTAAAATTAACCATTTCGTTTTTTGGTCTTAATTTTTTTTTCTTTGTAAAAAAATTGAAATTATCAAAGTTATTAAAATTTATCTACAAAATATATGATATAATATTTTTTTAGAAAAGAAATTTTCACGTCTTATTTTATATAATAACTTGGATTCCTTAAAACAAAACGTAGATGCTTAACAATGCAAACTCATTTAAGTAGTAAGATGAATAACTCATTTATTCATTTATTATTAGGGTTTAGGTCATTTTTGGTCACTTAATTTTTGGTTTTGTGCTCATTTGGTCACTTAACTCTTTTTAAGTTTTAAAAGATCATCAAACTTTTGACTTTGAGCTCATTTAGTCCCTTAACTTTTGGTTTGGTCACTTAACTTTTAGATTTGTGCTCATTTAGTCACCTAACTTTTAAAATGTGCTCATTTAGTCACTAAAATTTTGAAAAATTTTAAAAGTTTAGTGATTAAATGAGGACAATTTTAAAAGTTAGGTGACTAAATGTGACCAAACCAAAAGTTAAGTGACTAAATGAGCACAAAACCAAAAGTTTGATGACCTTTTAAAACTTAAAAATAGTTAAGTGACCAAATGAGAACAAAATCAAAAGTTAAATGACCAAAAATAACCTAAAACCTTTATTATTATTATTATTATTATTATTATTATTATTATTATTATTATTATTATTATTATTATTTTTGAATTTGGAGAAAACAAAAAATCTTGTTATATTTTATAAAAACTAATATTTCATAGAATTAAAATATAAATAGTTAAAAAACTTATTTTTTTAACAAACATACTAGTACAGTGAGTAGAAGTATTCATTGTATTTTCATGTTTTTGGAGATTTTTTTTGGTTTTTATAAAAATAAAAAACTTAATTTTTTTTTTTAATTTCATAATTATGCTCATTTTATAGATAAATATTCTTTAATAAATTTTGGAACTTTTAGAAATTTTTTTTTTCAAAAATAAATATATGGAAAGAAAACAAGTTTAATGAGGAAAAAGGCCGATGAAATGTTAGTTTGTAGAAGGAATGATGAGTCCGCGTATGCCTCTATATAGATTTGATGGTATTTTTTGGAAAAATGGATTTTTTTTTGGGTATATTTTTGACACGAGGTTATAATTTTGTTAGTTTTTTTGGAAAATTTTCTTATGCCTAGTAGCTTCTTTTGGATTAACCCGGTGCATGCTTTTACGACGGAGGTCATATAAGAAAACAAATTTAACACTATATTAAGCTGGAGGAAGTGGTACCATCGAAACCGCACACTCTCCCTCGCCACGTAGGCGCCACGTCACTTTTTACCACTTAAGTGTGGTTTCTTGCCACACCAAGGGTGTGGTGCCACAGTTTTAGTTTTTTTTTTTTTTTTTTTTTTTTTTTTTTCCTTTTTTGTTTGTTTTTTTTGTTAACTATTTTAATTTAATAAAACTTATTTTTTAATAAAAAAAACATAATTTTAAAGACATAATATTTCATTAATTAAAAATACAAATAACATACATTACTTAATTTAAAAAAAAAAAAAAAACCTAAAAATTTAGAAAAACAAAGTAGAAACAAAAAACCAACAACTTAAAAAAAACACACAAGAAACCATTAAAAACTTGAAAAAAAAAACTAGAAATTAGCCACGATTCATGTAACGGTTTTTCACTTCCTCTTTCATCGCCAACACCACTTCAAGCTCGGCCCCGGTCATATTCGACGTGTCCATTGCTAGTATTCGCATGTCGCTCTCCCTTTGTTTCCGAAGCTCTTTTTCAGAAGCAATTTTCAAAATCTTGTCCATTCTCTCTTTTATATCTTTCATGTCGGTTCCCATTTCTTTCAAATCATCTGGATCCGACGCTTTACCTTTGCCTTTGCTTTTTTATTTGTCTCTTCCCAATGGTCGGGAAGGTGGTGAAACTGGAACAGGTTCATCTTCGTTCGGATCAAACTGAACACGAGCATCTGATGTAGTGTGGCCGGACTCAGATGTTCTGCTGCGTTTTGACCCACTGTCGATATGTTGGTCAGATGTTTTGCTACTCAGCCATTTCCTGTTATCTTTCAAAAAATTCCAAACTTCAAGAAATTTGAAAGGCTTCAGATTTTCTTTTTGATACACTTTCAACGCTTTCTTCAAAATGACTTCATCGCTTTGTCCACTTTTCCATTGACGTTTCATGTTATTCCACAAGTCATTAAACAACATGACTTCCTTGTTCATCTTCCCCCGTTTGGAGTACACTTGATGTTTTGAACGGTATTCTCCACGGTTCATTCCTTTATGGAACCTGTGTAAAACGCGCATCCAAAAGCGGTCATGCTTTTGGTCTTTTCCAACCGTCGCATCTTCTGAAATATCGATCAAAGATTGTGCCAACACTAACGCTTCCAAGGGTTCCCAACATCTAGCCTCCGCCTTCTCTTTTCTTTTAGTCGCTGCTCGAGTGGGCTGAGTTTCTGTAACGAATTCCGGTTCAGAATCAGAAACAACCATTTCTGGTTGTGTTTGTGTTTGTTGAACAAACTCGGGTTGGGACAAAAAATCAAACAGATTAAAATCTGGGTCGGGTTGTGGTAGTGGTGGTGTTTGTGGATGTGGTTGCCCTGGTCGTTATGGAAAAGAAGGAAACATACCGCCATAGTGGTAGTACGAAGGTGAGAAAATCGGTTGATCAAATGAAGGTATTGGGGTGTTGGTGTTTCTGACTGGTGTTTTTTCTTTGCTAGGTCTTTTGGAAGAAGATATTTTTTCAAAGAAAATTGGATGAAATGATTGTATTTATATGTGTTTAAAGGTTGTGTAAATGTAAAAGTGATAACATATGTATATATAGATGGAGTAAAAGGTTAAAAAAAAATTAAAAAAAAATTAAATAAAATAAATTAAACGAATATTTGAACGGTCAAAAGAAAAAGGGTTAGCCAATCAGCAAACGCGGTTCTCAAAGGCGGTCTCGACTGCCCCAAACTGCACCCTAGGGGCAGTGTTCCTGTCCCACGTGGCTCAACCGCGGTTTGGAACCGCATACCACACCGGCTAGTCTTATCTCTCACTCCCCTTACTTCTTTTTAATGTGACGGGGAAACTATGATTGTTGTATATATAGTTTTAGTTCCTAAGAATGTTCTTTAGCAATCTCCTTATGCAACAAAGGCACCTTAACGGACCTAATAACCTCCCTTAGAAATAATGGGACAAGCACATGTTCCTATGTAAAAATACATCTTTCATTGCATAAGGCTATGTGGTACGTACAGTAACCCTGTTATTATCTCTGTAGAATGCTTTTAACAACGTGGTAACTTGGAAAACACCGTCCCCACCCATTGCGTTGTCCTCTATTGCCAAGGTAACAAGTTGCAACGGGTAAATTTGCTTAGAATTCAAACGATTTCAAACGACTTTGACCAATAAATGGTCATTGTAGATAAAAAAAAATTAATTAATTATTATTTACCTATAAATACATACATTCTATGCCAAATTATTTCACCTTATTATTTTCTTTCTTTATATTTCATAAATTTTCAATATTTCCAAAAAAAATAAAATTAATCCGTTTGATCCGTTCTACCCGTACAACGATGATGATATATTCGTCACTACAATATATTAGCATTGTACGAACGTGCTATTACAATCAGACTCAACTCCTCTATTAACCATGTATGCGACGTTAAATAGAAATCGCGAAGGACATCGACGTCTAGTTCACGATTATTTTATGGATAATTGTGTCTACCAGTCACATGATTTCAAAAGAATGTCTCGTTTGCGAAAAACTATGTTTGTACGGATAGCCAACACCTTGGAAAGCAGATATTGTTTCTTTCAAGTTTTGTAATTTATCATATAGTTTTTACATAATTTAAATACATTTTTTTTACCTATTAAACGCGTTTAAGTATGAATTTTTCCAAGATATGATGCTAGAAGTACACAGGGTTGTAGAAATGGGTTGCATCAATTAAGTTTCTAGCTATGGGATAGTTGTCTGATCCTATTGACGATTATATGAGAATGTCTGAAAGAAGTGCAAGAGAAAGTTTGTATAGATTGACGAGAGGTGTTGTCGAAACCTTCAGTGACGTTTATTTGCACAAACCTTTGTTGAATGATATGCAATAACTATATGCGACATATGAAGAAAGACATGGTTTTCTAGGTATACTTGAAAGTATTGATTGTACACACTGGAACTGAAAAAAATTTCTCGTGGGATGGAAAGGCTGGTATACAAGTGGTCATCATGGAACACATGACATGATGATTGGAGATAAATGACGGAATATTGCGGAGTATCCGGCTACGGAGCCCAGACGGCTGCAATTTCAACAAGAGACAAATAAATATTTACATAAAGTCGTTGATATTCAAGACGCACGAGAACACAGACAACTTCGAGAAGACCTGACTAATTATATGTACGATGGTACAAAGATGAATAATTTAGGGGCAAAAATGTAAATTTTCTTTCGTTTTTAAATATTATTTGTTTTTTGTTGTAATGTTTTTTTTAGAATTTTAAATATTATGTTTAATTAAAAAAAATAGATTTTATTTAAATAACACGTTTTATTAAATTAATTTTGTTTTTATAAATATTAGAAATTAAATCGAAAAAAAAATAATGACATGAAATTTATTGGTTTTATAACATACTGTTCATTATCTCACCTGTTGTTATAATACCATTGGTTGACATGACATGTGATGTGATAATTTTTTGGTGTGGTAACATGCTTTAACATATTGCTCACATCCACTACCTAAGATGCATATTACTTTACAAAACTGGTCATAATAAAAAAAATTCTAACAATTTAGATAGAGAACTAGGTAAAACCACCATTATCGAAGCAACTCGATGTTTAAAATTGTTAGGTTATGATATTCAAAGCGTAATGGAAGCATAAAAATTCATACTTTTATACCATAATACAGGATCACATATTCATACTTCTCTTGCAACTCCTCTAAACCATAGCGACATGGTAAAAGAAACAATTCTTGATGATTATTTCCGTCTCTTGGTTGGATCAAGGGTCTAAAGTAACACCCCTCTCTTGTAGTCGCAAGTGATGATCCAAACAAATATGACTTACCCCTTTTTCCTTGTGGTGGCCAAAAACCCGAACCCTAGAAAGGAAGGTGAATGCTGAGAGAGATGAGAAAGGCCAAGGTTTTGTTAAGGAAAATGTGGTGGATTGACTGGGAATATAACTTGAACACCAAACCTCTCATATGAGATGATCACTCCATACCGCTAGGCCATTGGCCCTTTGGTAGTTATAATTATAAAAATATTATTAGCTTGTAAATATGAATATATTTCTAACAAAAATTTCATCCCGCTACCTATCGCAAGGATGAGGAATGATATTTGGAATAATCTTAGTATATCTTTTTTTTTAGAACGTGAAACTAAACTACTACTAAATTACCACACATATCTTCAACGAAACTTGAAATCACTCTTTTACCACTAGGCCATGTGCCTTTTGCTCAAATCGTTATATATACACTATATACATAATACATATGGAACATAACACATGCGAATACATATGACACGGTCTAACATAGACATTCACATCTTTTGCACGTACAAAAGATCAAAAACGAATCCCTTGTTTCAGCTTTTTTTATGAGAATTTTCTTATCACATTAATATGGTTTTGTCCTGTCTTAGGTCGCCTAATGGAGAACTTAGACTTGCTACTATTTAATCATAAGTGAACATTAGCACAAGGTAGCATATAATGTGTTCATAATCACAAATAATCAAGTCAGTGATCAACATACAACACACATTTAGGTAACATTATTTTACAATATCAAATACTACACATTTAAATTCATGTCAAATTCAGTCAAACACCCAAACACCCAAACACCCAAATCAAGAACTTAATGCTGCCAGCTTCTGTGACAGAACACCGCTTACCTCATCTCCCTGTTCAAACGTCTCCTGCCAAAAAAAAAAAAAAAAAAATACATTTCAAATTAAAAAAAAAAAATCACATTTATGTAAAACAGAAAATTAGTTATTTTGGAAGTGATGTAATGTAAATGTTTAAAGTATAAATGCTCTCCTAAAAGGGTAATCAGAATACTTACCTTGCAAGTTTTGTTGGTGGGTCCTACATATTTGGGTGTAGTATTACAAATGCTATTACTTCTTGACAAGCTTCTTGCATTTTTATTGCTGTTTGGAATATTTTTAGGTGAATCTTTTTTAACATTTTTTGACCTTTCTGATGATCTTGGTGGGCTTCTTAGACTTGTTGCAATTGAAGCATTTGTACGCCTTTCAAACTCATTCATTTCATCAACAGCTTCTTCTATTGGCACACAGATCCGCTCTCTTTCATAAAAACACCACATTATTAAATTATTCAACCTTCCATTTTTCATTTTTTCACCCTTTTTATGTTCTAGAGGGAGGGGCAAACTTGGAATTTGAAAACTTAGTAACTTACCTTGGCAATGATGTGTATTGCCTTCGAAGCGGAGAGTTTCTTCCTTCCTTTCCCTCCTGCTCCTCAAGATCCGCAAACTGCTGCTTAAATCGATCGATTCCACTGAAAATAGGATACAAAGGGTATTTTCGTCATTTCACTATTCCGTGACAATTGACTTTTCTATGAGAGTCTTTAAAAATTATGACCTTGGATACATGAAGCTTATGTGTTCTTCGCCATGGAGGTACTCTTGCAGCATCTGGGGGTGGTACTCTAGGATCTGTGTACTTGAAAAAGACGAAAATACCCTTGAGCAATTTTCCCGATAAAGATTGTAGAATATGAGGATACATGTTACATACCTCTCTATAAATCAGCTCTCTAACATCATTCTTTGTTAATCTCCTTCTTTCAAAATCAAATTCAAGTTTTGAAATCGGTTGTTTTGATGGTTCAGTTTCCAAATTAGCTAAACCATAAAAATACGGATCTGCTAAAGCCTGCAAATTTTTAAAAAGAAATTTAAAATATCAGTAACCAGATATATAATATTTTGAGTGGATTTACAAGAAATGTATTTAAAACAAAATGGTATAAAGTTTTACTAAAGCTTATCTCTTCAGCAGATATCCGGTCAACTGGGTCAAAGGCAAGCAATCTTTCAAGTAAACGAAGTGCTAATGGATCAGCATTTGGGAATTTATGCGAAAATGGAACTTTTGTCTTGTTTGGAAGGCCATTTAAATATCTTCTAGCCTTTTCATTTCTTATCTGCAATAAATGGTAGTAACATATTTTTTTTATTAAAAAAGGAAGCAAACTTTTTTTTTTTTTTTTTAAGAAAAAAAAAAAAAAAACAACAAACCCTAGCAATTATTTCAGCAGAAGGAGAACCAAGCAAATCAGTAACAAGATCTAATTGGTGCACAACGTTTCTCCCAGGAAACAAAGGCTTCCCTGTTAGCATCTCAGCAAATATACACCCTATGCTCCATATATCAATCGCAGGGGTATACTGGTAAATTCAAACTTTCAGTAATTCAATTCATTAGAATATGGAAAAACTCTCTGTGTGTGTGTGTGTGTGCTTACTTTTGAGAAAAATGAGCCACAAAGTTCAGGAGCACGATACCATCTAGTGGCCACGTAGTCCTGGAGACAATTATATATAAAATATAAATTCATTTCATATTTATAAAAAAAAAAATTGTAATTTTAGATATATACATATATACATACAGTCCAAAAAATCGCTGACGGGGTATCATCAAAGGATGCACGTGCTAAACCAAAATCACAGATCTTTAATTTGCAGTCTGCATTTGCGAGGATGTTTTTGGGTTTCAGATCACGATGAAACACATGAGCTGCAGAAAGAAAAATATATAATCAAGAAAATAAAATAATAATTAGAAGAAGAAGAAGAGGAAGAGGAAGAGGAAGAGGAAGGGGAAGAAACCTGTATGTATATATTTTAAAGCACGAAGGAGTTGATACAAGAAGAATTGATGATGTTCAGGGGTGAGGTCATCATTAACCTTGATGACCTCATCAAGATCAGATTCCATTAACTCAAAAACAACATAAATGTCTTTGAATTCTCTTCTACATGGAGGAAGCATGATGTGTTTTATTTCAACAATGTCTGGGTGTCGAAGAAGACGAAGGAGTTTGATTTCTCTAAGGATACGCGTGGCATCGGAAACATGTTCAAAAACATCGTTGATCTTTTTTATAGCGACTTTTTCACCGGTGTGCGTATCAACTGCAGCTGCAACAACACCATAGCTTCCTTTCCCAACAACTTCTTGAATCTCGTACAGACTTGCTTCACCATACTCGGTGAAAAATTCCTTGCCAAGCATGATTTGATTCTGAGTTTTTATCAACGAAAATATATGTAAGTTCTGTTTATGGAATCACACTTCATTAATTGTATATATGGTTTGGTTATCGAAGACTTTTGAAATCCTATGTTTGAGAGATTTTTAGAAATCTTTGGATGTGAAATCATGAACAGGACATAGGATTGCAATGGAATGGAATTCCAAATCCCTCGAATCAAATGCCCCATTGGTAAAGTTCCAATTACTAGAAAGTAATGGTTGTTCTCGTGGAAATGGTAAAAAGAAGGATCTGGAGATATTATGGATATATGCTAAAAGTCAGGATCTCTGAGTTAACCTAATGAAGATCTATGAAAATCTGAGTTAACCTAAGGAAGATCTATGAAAATCCAAGAAATCCGGAAACGAAAAGGGGAAAAATAAGAAAAACGAAGAAGAAAACAGAGTTAAAGACGAACCTTGAAGCTGAGCTTAGCAAGCAATTCTTCTCCGAAGGTGGAAAAACCTTCTTTAAGGGTTCAGTCTCGAAACTATCAACACGCGTCTTCTGAGAATTGAAGCTACAAAGACAAAGAACAGAAGAAGAAGAAGCAATGAAACCCACAAATATATATGTCTTCATTAATGACGATGGACAAGGGAAAATGGCAGATTTGAAATTGTCCACTCAATCCATGTCCAATAATTATTTTACAAAAAGTCAAATGTAAAGACTAGAGACAGAGAGAGAACAACCAATATCTAATCGCGAATCCAACCGTCCATTCCGAATCCAACGGCATATATTCAATTTTCGCGTTGTGGATCATCGCCTTTATACGCGATATATTCTAAAATATTGCGATTCTGATAAAGTTTCATCGATTTACAAGTAAAAAATGGATCTGATGCAAGCATCGTCTTAAATTGTGCGCCCCATCTTATCCCTACTGACACGCATACGCATCGCAGTCCATATATACAGAAGAGAATTGATTTTTATCATGTCGGTGTGGATAAGGATTAATCGGACTAAATCCAAACCTGAGATATGAACAGATCATCAATGGCAGTAGCTTAATCCCTTAATCCCTGTCATTAATATTATTCTAATTACTACTAATCATCGATAAGTACGGATGCGTTGACTACGGATGGGTTCTTGTTTAATAATACCTAAAGGGCGTTGATGTTGGGAGAGTTGACGAACGCCGACCATTGAAATCGTCATTGGCCGTTTCCGCTGCCGCCGGATCTCGCCGTTCGCCACCACTCTGTACATTATAGATACTCTTGTTTTGTAAGTTTGAAATCGACTGAGATTCCGTGAAGAGGGAGATAGAGTGGATTCAGCAAAAATGAACGTTGAGTTCGGGGGAATTTTGTTTGGGAAAAGTAATGAAATACTAATTTTAATTTGAAAGGTTATGCACAATTTCATATATTAACATTGTAGTTTGTAAAAAAATAATAAAGAAATGTTACTTGTTGACAAAAAATTTAAAAGTTATTCACTAACAAGGACACAAATAATTTTTTCTGAATACAAAAAAATTTGTAACTAATTCGGTTATAAAGGTGTACGGGTAAGCGAGAAATACATTTATGGCTGAATAAATTCAGCTATAAAATTTATTACAAACACTTTTTCTAATTTATAAACTACGATCCATCGTTAATCAGCATGCTTCGTAACAGCAGATCCTAAACACTAATATTCATTCATAAAAAAAAATTCATAAATATTTAAAAAAAAAACAATAATGTAGAGTTTTGACATTATCATGGAAATTTTAGTTCTATTTGAGAGGGTAGTTGATCTTAAAGATGATGTATTGATGTTGTAGGGTTTGGAATGAATGTGACATAGACTATGATGTTGTTTGGTCCGACACTTAATGATGACCTCAAGAGGGATTTTAAGAACAATGTTGACAAGTAGGATAAATATAGTTATATCAGACATAAATTTTTGCAACATCTAAAATTCTTGGAACATGCTTTCATTGATCTTTAGAAACAAGGATTCAAATAGCACATGAGAGAGTCGATGAATCTTTGATGGAATAAAAAATTGGATTGTAATGAACAAATGTGTCAACCGTAGAATAACTACTAGAAATGGAAATTAGAGGTGGTGGATGAAAGGTAGTCTGGTAGTAATTCTAGATGATTTAAGCATAGGTATGTCTCATCATGTCTTGATAAAGAGATAATTCACACATGGTTAATCAATAATTTTGAGTTAATGTTATATCCACACAATCAATAAGCGTAACACGGGGTACAACACGATCCATTGCACGGGGAAGCAAACACCTTAATAAACAACATAGCAAACAAAGAGAATTGCACTCATAATTGCATTGAAAACGACACGTTTGTAAATTATCCTCACAAAGATCGTTATATGTTAGCTAGAGCATACTAGAGTTCAATTTTTCTTGAATTTTGTGATCGTCGTAAGGTGGTATTAGCGAGAAGTTCGCAATGTAGACATTTTCACTTTATAATCCCAACTAAGCATTTTATGGTGGTTCATTCACTTTCTTTTTCTTTTTAATGACTTTATCAATCAATTGACAAATGATAACATTGATAAGAAATGGTAAAATCCAAAGATGTCATTGTCGTGTTTGAAGTTTTATTATTTACATCATAAACTCGCTTGAACCTTGACATAAGGTTTTTCAGGTGCGTTCGAATTTTAGGGTTTATGTAACAAATATAGTAGATGGATTCATATTTTTCTATTTATTTTAGTTATGTAGTATTTGAGGAAAGAATATATATATATATATATATATATATATATATATATATATATATATATATATATATATATATATATATATATATATATATATATATATATATATATATATATAGGAGCAAGATCAAATGAGAACACCTAAAAGGTTGAGAACGCGAGAACAGATCTAGATTATCTAAATATTCAAATCTAAGGTTATTATTAGACGGGTCATTTATGTAAATTATGGAATTTATTGGTATTGAAGTGTAACTTTGAAGTAGTGAAAAGGGTATAATAGTAATTGATTGTTTATTTAATTCCTATAATTTCTCATTCTTTCCTTTCAATTTCATCTCTCTCTCTCTCTCTCTCTCTCTCTCTAGGGCACACCGCCTTTCAATTTTCTCGGTGTCATTATCTTCATAGAAATCAAAAGCTTAAGCCAACATCATCGACATTGTCGATCGACAGGTAAGGACGAACGTCGATCGACCGGAAAAGGATGAACGTCTCCATCGCTAAGAGGCGGAGCAGCCGGAGAAGATGAATCGGATGTCGGAGAAACGAATGGGTGGACAGCAGCACCATTAGGGCATCGTGATGCAAGAATTTTGGTGCCCGATGTTTGGATTTTGATATCCCTCCAGTTACTCTACCCTTATTCCACAAAAACCCTAATTCTTATAACTATTGCCTTTTACCAGGTAATTGCTTCGTTTAGTTTCCGATTTTGTTATTTTTAATTCATTCAATTTTGCATTCCAGACGATTCAATTGTCATTGGTGATTGAATTTTGCTGTGGATTTGACCGGATCTTTGTATACGTAAGTCTCGTGAAATCATTCAGTTTTAGGGTTTATTTATTTAATTAGAATCACTATTTCTGAGAAATTCTATTAATCCGCTAAGGCTTTATGTAGATTTTGCTTTTGTTTATGTCTCACAATTTGTTTACCAACAGGAAATTTGATATGAGTTGATATTATGTAATTACCTTGCTTGTAAAACGTAAGACAGATGTGTGTTATTTTCCAACTTGGTTAGATGACTTTTTGTTGAAACAAGTTCACTATTTGGCTCTATGATTCGCTTCGCTTCCTGGAAACTGTAAATATATGTACATCATATCATATGGGTATTTGCTAATGTTCAGAGGTGAATCAATTTTGCGTCCTCAATTTCTTATATTTTGATTAATTGTATGTTCTTTCCTGGTGAAAACAATCGATCTATTTGTTAATTTGTGAGAACAATGAATGACCGATCTATTTTGTTACTTTATGTTTCGTTTCTTTTTCTTATGTAGGCACCCTGAAGATTGAGGGTATTGAAACTCCGGCTCTCTTAAAATGGGTGTAACTAGTGGTAATGGAAGCTTACCAATACCACCTCTATCAAACTATAGAATGGGGAAAACCCTTGGGATTAGATTTGTTTGAGAAGATGAAAGTTGAAGAATTTGAGCTATTATGTTATGTATTTTTTTAGATGCAAGTTATATTATATTTTGATGAATTCATTTATGTTAGAATGCATATTTATTTATGAATAGTAGTGTATTCATTTGTAATTAGTAGGGCATTCATGTGTAAACGAATGTATTTATTTTATGATTAGATGTATTCAATTCTGAATAATAGTCTACTCATTTGTTAATAGAAGTTTATTCATTTGTGAATAACAGTGTAATCATGTGTTAATGAGTGTATTTATTTATGATTAGATGTATTCTTTTTATGAAGAAATAATAGTTTTTACACTATTTTTATTTCCAATTGATTAAAAAAAAGTATTTGATTACTTGTAAATGGATGTGTATTCATTAGTGATTGGATCAATAACAAGTTTCTTTTTAAAAAAAAAAAATCAATTATGAATACAAATGTATTAATCTGGGGTTCGACTTATATTCATTTTTTTTAACACAAAAAGTATGAAATAGGAGAAAAAAATGAATTTTTTAAGAAATTTTTTTTTCAATTTTAAAATAAATTTTGGTAAAAATGTTTTTTTTTTATATCCCATTAATAAGAAAAATACAAAATCAAATATTTATTTCTTTTTTGGTAATTGGTCCTAAATTTAAGGGATTTAGATTGATTTTTATTTTATTTTAATTTAATTAAAATATACAATTACTAATATGCCCTTATATGTTGATTGGTCCAGAATTGTTCTCGCGTTCTCAACCTTTTAGGTGTTCTCATTTGATCATTCCCCTATATATATATATATATATATATATATATATATATATATATATATATATATATATATATATATATATATTTCAAATTTATTTAATTTTGATTTAATATTCTCTAAGAAATTTATAAGTTTTAACAAGTATGATTCAGAGACAAGATCAGTGATTGATTGGATTAGCGTAAAACCCGCGAATAAGGACGTAAGTCGTGGTACCGGACCACAATCATCGTCAGGACGATTCCCCTCTGTTCATCGTTATTAAAACAAGTAAGTTTTCTTATAGAATTTTAAAGCAAAATTAATTAAATATAAGTATATTTTCAGACATATTATCCAAAAAAATATATTCCTGGTAAAAATATCAACAATGAATAAGATTATGATGATAATCAAATAAATTCTATTAAAGAAACCGTTAATAACATAGAACAAAGTTTGAATAATTAGACAATACCTAAAACTAATGTTAATACAATATATAAAATAAGAACTTTTTGATTATTTTCAAGGTTACTCTATTAAAATGACAGAACAAACTTTGTCTATTAGTCAAAACCAACAAATTTACATTTGTTATCATCACGATCTATTATAGAGCATAGAACGAAATATAAATTTTTACATATCGGTTTAGTCCAAGTTGCTATCAAACCTCTATTTAGACTTGGAAATAGATGCTCTTGTTCTCCTTATTTTAAGAAACAGGAGACATAAAGATTTTCAAAATTCTATTTTAGTTATGGCTGAAACAATTATTGCTAACGGACCTATTTATTTTAACTGTTATCCAAATTTTTCTATAGAATTATTTAATAAAAATATTTTAGACACATTAGTGTTAACTGTAGAAACAAAAAATTTAGAATTTAAAGATGATACAAACATTTAGCAATAATTTATCGCGTCTGTTACAAAACTATGACAAGTACACTTGAACCGAAAATTTATTTATCAAGTCCTAAAAACGAAACAATTATTTTTGAAGCAAATACTAACCATACCAAAGTGCACACACCAAAAAGATTAAAATGGTCTGATATAACTCAATCATGTAATTGGAACTTATAAAATGTTATCGATCA